TGCAGCATAGTCCTCAGATGCTTTGGTAACCTTTTTTCTGCTGTTCTTTCGTTTTCTTTTGTTCTCGTTATTCTGTGATCACAAAATAAAGTAGAAAGCTTATGGTTCTGTCATGGGTTGATTTACAGCTGTCTTATTTCTTATTGTATGCTAAGGGCATTCAATAACCACCTCTAACCGCGAATCAAGGATAGATCAGTACCGTCCCTCATAATTTTGAATGAAGCGCTAGAAACTATGACTCAACTATGACTGCTTATGAACACAAAGTACTCGAGCGGGTAATGGCTATTCGACAGGTAATGATTGCAAATAATCTGTGTACTAAACCCTGCAAGTTTGAGCAAGTAGTTCTGGCACACGCTTAGATTCAATGTATTCAAAAGACTTGAGAAATCTTCCACTCCCCCTTCATTGGATATACGTATTTATGTCCCAAGAAAAGTGTGTCAATCTTTAGGGCCCATCCGATATTGATTGCTGAGACTACGATGCAGCTCTTTTGCTTGCTAGTGGTATTCTTTTCCTAACTGGATCTGCTCAATTGCAATAAATAAGGAAGTGTGTAAATGAAAAAACTTACTCAGAGGTATTTTCTGCATGTGGATTACAAAGAAGGTATAGCATGCTATGATTAAAATACCATAGATTATAAATATTATGGTAAGCAATTGGAACTTTATGCCCTCCAGCGGCTGTACTACTCCGCAAAAAACGTTTCTGTAATAAGGGCTTGAACACAGCATTATGTACGTTTTTGGTACAAATAAATAACACGGCAGTACAAAAAGATAACACGGCTAAGTGAAAAGAGGAAGCGAACTCGCTGTGAACCGCGGCTGGCATGTGACGCTCACAGTCAAGCTCATTTGTGGACACTGACCAGCTGCTGTTGCTACTGCATGACAAACTGTTATCGGAGTTGTTTAGTGCTTCCGTGCCACACAGATTTGTGCGATGTATTATTTATTCAGCCCGACGTTACCACAAAATCGTCGTTTCGAAAGGTCTGGAAGAGTTCGAGAAGTTCTTCAATGTAACATTCCACCCAACACGTAATCAAGTGTCACCCATACTAATGAATCAGGATGAAAGCGTCCTAAAACAGCTCATATCCCAATTCCAGTACCGCCGATGATCCGCTGGGAGTCATTCTGTTATTTACGCATAGACTGGGTTGCTTACAGAAAGTTTCAGAGGTTTTTCTGACACAAATCGTTCTCTGAAAGCACAACTTGGGCAGAAGTCGGTTAACAGCTCCTTTCGGTCTGTAGGCTAGAGCCCTGAAGAACAATCACAAATTGTGGTACTCCGGTGCTCAGATGTCG